CCCCAAAACCCCAAAACCCCAAAACCCCAAAACCCCAACTACTTCTTCAATATTGAATAGTTAACGATCAGTTTCTCAATGGCAATGCTCATCTGTTCCATTCTGGAAGAAAGGAAACTGGAATGCTCCACAATCTTGGTTATTAACCTTCTGTTTATCGCATTGGCTATATTTTTTCTCTATGGTATACGAATTCAAGGTGCATTCTTCCTCCTCTACCTTTTGAAAAGGGCTCATCTTTTGGCTGTTTAGCGGTCTTAAATTTGGTTTGCGACCATCCATTGAAATTTTTACATACTTAGGAGTTTCAGAGACGTTCGATCTGTGATGATATAGCTCAGAAAGAGGGATTTTGGGAGTATCACACTGTACAGATTTCTTCAAATTATACTCTTCCTCCTCTGCGTCGTTGGGAGTTTTGTTCTGCGACATAGTCAAGAATGATATTTTAGTTATTGCTTCTCTTCCATCCAAAGGAGAAGGATTATAGCGAATACTTTTGTTATCCTGTTCATAAAGCATACTTTCTAATTCTAATCCTTCATTCTCAATATCTCTGATGTAGGACTTCAAGTCTGATTGGTCAAATTGAGTTGGAGTTTTAACCTTACTCTCTTTCCTAAGTATAGATTTCTTATATGATTCAAGTTGGACCTCCATTTCTTGTATTATGGATCTCAACCTCTCTCACTCATCACACCTATTTTTTAGGAGTGATCTGTGAGATGTCCTGGTCTAGTAAATTAGTAATATTAATGCTATTTCTGTTTCGTCTCCATTTCAAGACTCATAATCCTATTTCTGAGATTATTCTCTGATTTCTGCCTCTGATTTTCTTTCTGAGAATACAATTGGTTTATCTTTTTAATTTCTTCTTGATGAGCTTCTTCTATTTCATTTAACTTTTCTTCTAGGATTTTAATCTGAGCGTCTTTATTTCTGAACCTGGCTGGCTAGCTCACTGATCTGTTTGTATTGATCTGAAGTTATGAAGAAATAATACCTCCTCTTTTCCTCAGTTCATTTCCTTCGTTGACAAAGAATCTGAAGGAAGAGGTCTGAGCTGAACTTTTGTTCGTGATTGCTGAAGTATCTAGGATCTGGACGCTATCAGTCTTTTTACATTTTCTCTTCTTGGACTTTCTGACAGGTTTATACTACAAGTTAGCTTGGGAAATACCAATTTTGATTTAGGGAGGTCTCAAACTGATTTTTTGGAATTAAAACCGCCAGAAGTTGATATCTATGAATGTGTCAATTTGAATGTACCACTAGCTGTTCGTTGTTATCTTGAGTGAAGTATACATTGGATTCACTGATTGAACTCTTCTCAACTATCAGAGTTTGATTGGGTTTTGCATCCTCTGGGGATATAACTGTTAGGTTATTTTGCCTTTCTTTTAATACGTTGCTTTTGACTGGCGTTAATTGTTGACCGTTTTGTTCCTTTTGATTTATAGATCAAGTACAAGGAGTTGGAATTGCTTTCTCACCTAGTATAACTATTATTTAACATACTTTTGTTGTTTTTCATTCCTTTTAATCTCTTAAAAGATTTAAGGAGGTTTTCAGTCTTTATTTTTCTCTTCTTTTTGTTTCCTTTCTTAGATTTGAAGGTGCCATTTTTAATCATAGATCCCTTGGATCCAATCTAGACGTTAAAGGTTTTGGGCTACATCAAATATTGATTTGTTTCTGCTTCTTCATAGCAAGTTTTCACTACTCTCTTTCTTATTTAAAGGTAGGTGACCCAGCATCATGATTCATCCTATCTTGGAAGTTTATTGTTGTGCTAAACTTCTGATTTCCTATGGAATTAGATGGGAAGATATACTCTTTAAAGATGATGATTTGTTTTTGCCTAGAGATCTTGCTCTCGTTCAAGTTTCTATATAAATTCTTACTTCTAAATTACCGTTTTGCTTAGAATTCTGTTTAACAATCCCTGTTGTTTTTGTTAACAATAATTTATGAGCTTTTTCACACGACTATAAATATCAATTATTGTTCATTCTTTAATGAGAATGTAGCCAGACAGCTGAACAGACGGAAGTAAATTAATACCTTTTTGTATTTTATCATATCGCTTGTAGATGACACTGCGTATGATTTTCTTCTTCCCTATAATTGACAGTTTAACATATTTTGTTGCATAAATTAACCAAATATATAATAAATTTAAGAGAAAAATTACATTTATAAAATATTACCTTTAACTTTGGTGCTTTCCTCCTGTATGCTATTAAATTACTCTTAGAGGACTGTTTTTCTCTTATCCCCACATTCATTCCCACTAAATTTCTAATTTTATTAATTTAACTAAAACTCTCAATATTATCTCTAATACTGGGGTTTTGGGGTTTTGGGGTTTTGGGG